ATGTAAAGAAGGTTTTCAGCAGTGGTCATTTGTTTTTGCAATGAAAACGTTTGACTCCCATCCAGAAGCCATTCTCAATTTGATGTTTTAGTTTGATGATTAATTTGAAAATGGCTCTGGATGGGAGCCGGGACTTCTTGATTGTAAAAACAGTGTCCAGATGAGCACTGCTGAAACCTTCTGTGCACTGAAACTCTCCCAGACTAATGAGGGATGACAATGCTCTTTTATGTTTTTTTGGACTGGTGAAAATTTGACTAGGCAAAAAAAAAAAAAAAAAAAAAAAAAGCATACCGATCAACAAAATGAACATAATTATGCTGATGTCTGGTCCCATATGAAATAAGAGGAGAAAGATAATTGTATGACAAATTTTTACTTGTATATTTATATAATAATTACATGTCTCTTGCTATTTCTGCTGCTTATTTTGAATTTATTCTTACAATTTATATTTTTGCTCTTTGTTATTATATTTATTATGATTTGTAAGTTACTGTGTCCAAATAATTTCACTTGTGGATCAATAAAGTTTGTCTAAGTCTAAAATATTTATACAGATATCATTTTTAGAAAACATTATCTCACCATTTTTTTTAGATGGATTAAGAAATGTTGCTTACTAAGACATCACATGTTTTTGACTGTGACGTGGATGACAGCCCTTCACTGGAAATGAATAAACGTCACATGATTACTAGTCAGTTAAAGTTGTTTATTGCTGATTATCGACAGAAATAAGCAGAGATTTTATACAAATGACTTATAAATAATAATTACTTAAAGGTACACTGTGTAACTTTTCTGGAGGGGGGTAATCAGTCTTGCCTTTTTCAATTTATGTGTTATTTATTGGTCAAAAAGTTCTTAAAAAATGTGAATTCTTATTGTGAGTGGGGTTGCCTCCCTGCAAATCTTTGGTGTAACTTTATTAGCCTGATTCATCAGCCGGTTTCACTTTGTTGAAACCGTGTGACCTCCCAGCATTAGGATTTGCTCGCTTGATGGTACTTTTTTTTAATTTAACCAATTGCTGCTGTTTGGTCGTGACGTATGTAATGAGCCAGAACACTCAGTGGTGTGCAAGTAATTGCCGGCACAACAACAATCAAAGCAGAGAGTGAACACGTCTGTCAACGATCATTGTCATTTCTGGTGAATTTTCAAATTAAAGTTGGAATTTTAAAAAATTGAAGTTTGTATCGTCTACATCCATATCGACTGTTTTGTTTACTGTTGTGTTGTACCACAAAAGGGACCCAGACAGGCGCCTGAGTTTGACGTCATGGCTTCACAGCTCTTCACTGATTGGTCGGTGTGCGGTCTACAACTTCTGTTCTTCCAAACCGTCTAATGTATTCTGATTCCTGACTTAGTCTCTCGAGAGAAATGGAATTGAGTGGAGGCACTAGGTGGAGCCAGCCTGATGCATCAGCCGGTTTCACTTCGTGGAAACCATTTCGCTCGACTGTAGGCAGGTACTTTTTATCATTTATCTAATCGCTGCTGTTTGGTCGTGACGTATGTAATGCTCCACTAACAGGGCTAACTGGTATATTAAGCTTTTCCCAAATCCCATAGGAAGAAGGACAATAACGTCTTTCCCCTTGATAAAATTCACCAAACATTCTCTTTGTTCCGGCTTTAAATCCTCGATCTTGGGAATCGTTGCCAACACAGAATATATGGCTCTTCTCTGATTGGCTGCTGCCCGAACTCGCACTGCTGGGGTTTTTGCAAACCGTCAAGTGTATTCTGATTCCTGACCTTGTTGCTGGACAGAAATGAAATTGAGCGGGGCACTAGGTGGCACCAGCCTGGCTAGAACTTTATGGCCATACTGTGGAATATTCTAGGGACATCTCCATGGAGACAAGTTACACAGTGCATCTTTAATCGACAAAACATTATGTCACCCCAAACATACAGCTATTGATGGTCACAAGTTATTGACCATTAGGCAGTGTTGTGGTCAGGAAAGGCATCTGGCATTAAAAAAAGAACTAAAATCGTCTTTGTTTTTTATAGATTAGACTTGCTCGGAATTTCACACTAGTCATTTCCCCATTTTTAGTTCATTTTTAGCTGCGTAATCTTTCAACACATACCAGAGTTGTTTGGAAAGAACCATAACAGATTTTCCCTGCTTGTTTTCGTCGTGAACAGGAATCTCATTGACTCTGCTCCCTCAGGTCACACTTGTATATTTAACATTTAACAACCCGGCTCGCTCCGTCCAGGGTGGGACCTGCAGTCACTAACAGTGGAAGTGACTCATGCCAAACAGAGGAGAGCCCCTCACACTTCTCTGTCTCCCTCTCCCTCTCTGTCCATCTTTTGCTCCTTCTATTTCTCACTCTACTTCTTTTCCTCCGTCACTCTCTCTTTTTGTTTCTTTAATTTTTTTCTCTCTCCCTCTATTTCTAAACCTACCCCTCTTTTCTCTTCACTCACTCTTTTTCTTTCTCTCTCCTCCTCTTTCTTTTCCTACACTCACTACACAGCAAAAAGTGGAAGTGTTAAAATTGACTCTCACAGAATCAACTTTAACATTTTCTCAGAGTTTATATGAGTCCAATCTGTTCTATAGTTAATTGAACATTTTTGGAAATGTTAATTAAGCAACACTAGACCAAAGTTCCTGTTTAACCCCAAAATAAAGAGTTATTTTAACGTTTTGAGAGAAAACAGATAACACTTTGTACAGTTCCTGATTTAACTAAACAACACACAGAGCTGTTTTATTTTATTTATACTTTATTTTAGTTAATTTAAGATGAAATTATGAACAAAACTGGTTCAAACTGGTCTTCTCTTACAAGAGTTTGAAGTGGTGAATGGGAGGAGCCAAATTAACACTAAGGGAAGTTGAATTAACACTAAGGAAAGTTGAATTAACACTAAGGGAAGTTGAATTAACACTAGAGGAAGTTGAATTAACCTCAACCACATCAACTCTGACAAATAACCCCAACTCAAACCCCCATTTAACGTTCAAATAGTTAAAATAACACTTTTGGAGTTAAAAACAACTCTGAAATACTTTACCCTAAAATTTTAACCCTCCAGTTTTTGCTGTGTACTATGTCTTCCCGCCCGTTCCTCTGTGTCCATTTCTCTCTTCCTCCATTTCGCACCCTTACCTCTCTTTTTCTCTCTCCCTTTCTTTCCTTTTTGCTCTCCCTCTTTCCCACCCCTCCTCTCCCTCTCTCTCTCTCTCCCTCTTTCTTTCCTTCTCTTTTTCTGTCTCTTTTCCTCTCTATCTCTTTCTCTCTTAACCCCAGCACCTCTACAGTATATGTCTTTCTCTCTTTCTTCCTCCCTATTTCTGTCTCTCTTCTTACACCCAATCTCTTTCTCACTCTCTCTCCCTCCGTTTCCTACCACCTCTTTCATCTCTCTTTCTAGCTCTCTTCCTATCTCTGTCTCTTAATCTCTCGTTCTTTCTCTATTCTTGTCTCTGTCTCTATCGTGCGCTCTGCCTCGTCTTCTCCTCTCTCTCCTTCCCCTCTTCCCACCCACCTCTCGTTCACTCTTTTGCGCTTTCTCTCTTCTCTCTCTCTGTGTCTGTGTTTGTCTCTCTCCTCCACCCTCCCGACACGCTGCTCTCTCTCTCTCTCGCTCTTTCACACGTGGGTTTCTGGTCAGTCATGTGGGTTGAGGGCAGGCCCGGTCTGGGGAGAGCCCGGCTTCATCGCTGTTTTTGTTTCCTATCGCCAAGACAACAAAGGCCCACTTTAACAAGGAACATCGCACTGACACACTCACCACTTTCTCTAACAGCGTGAGCATGTCGAAGGCGTTGAGGTTAAAGAGCAGGAAGTGAAACTAATGATGATAACACTGTATGCGTTGTCATGACAATGAGATAATGTCTTTTTATAGCACAAGTGTTTATTAAAAAAAGCAAACAAAAAAAATACAATCTGCTGGAATGTGAGCCACCTTTTTTTTACATGGAGATGTTATTTCTCTGAATGGAATGTTCACCAGCACGGTATTAAAAATATCTTTTAATCTTTAATCTGTAAAGATAAGATTCATTGTGTAATGGTAAACAAAGCAGTAACATCTCCATGGAGACGAGCAGGTATTGAACCACCCACCAGAAAAGTTACACAGTGCACCATTAATACTATACCTATACTTGTCACGTCACTGCAGATTTGGATGTAAAATATTTGAAAAAAAACAAAAACAATAACAAAAATAATAATAATAAAAACTACAACTACTACTACATACTACTACTACATACTACATACTATACTACAGCTACTACTACTACATACTACATACTACTACATACGACATACTACTACATACTACTACATACTAAACTACTACTACTACATACTATACTACAGCTACTACATACTACTACTACATACTACATACTACTACTACATACTACATACTATACTACAGCTACTACTACTACATACTACATACTACTACATACAACATACTACTACATACTACAACTACTACTACTACATACTATACTACAGCTACTACATACTACTACTACATACTACATACAACTACTACATACTACTACTACATACTACATACTACATGCTACATACAACAACTACTACTACATACTACATACTACATACTACATACTACATACTACTACTACTACTACATACTACACACTACATACTACATACTACTAACAGCTGATACCGCTAAATCCCAAACTACGGGTCTACAGATTTTTGTTTTATTTGAATATAATTATTTTCAAAAACATTTCATATAATACTAATCATTTAAAAAATCTTATAAATAATATTCAAATAAAATAATTTCTCTTAAAATCTTGTTGTTTCTTTACTAACTCTAATAATACTAGTAGTGTCCAGCCATCAAATAACACACGTCGGTAACTAAGGAAACCACGCTCTTTTACGCACGGAGCGTCTATATCGGGAACTGTGACTGAGGGTCAGTGCGTGACGTAGCGACGCACACGGGGCGTCGTTCTTCCAAAATGAGAGCGTTTATAACAGCACGTCAGCCGCTGGCATCAATCTCTGCTCTCAGTCCGACGCTGCGCTCCGTGCACTGAGGATACCCCGGTGCTTCTGGACTTTAGGGACGCTTTGTAACGCTTTTGCCTTGTTTTTGTGGGAATTACAGCTGCGAGCAACAAGTAAGTGGACTTTACTCTCTAATGTAAACTTCCTCAGTAGGATAAGGCGCTCGGGAGAAGCAGGAAAAGCGCGTATATATGGAATACAAATGCTACTTTTACAACAACATTGAAGTTATAGTTTATTACACGTATAAGCTAATTACACAAAGTTTTATTTATGTTGAGTGTGTCTTAAGTTAAAACCTACTTAGAAATAGACTTATGTTTTTACTGACGGAGAAATGCGCTTTTGTTTTTGAGTGACGCAAGTGTGGCGCGCACTTAAAATTGGACCGTGACAAAGTTTTCCAGTTATGTCATTGAAAAACACAGCCTCCAATAAGTCCAAAAAGACTCGTAGCATAAATTAATACTTTAAGGTCAAAACTATGTTAAAAATCCCAAAGGCTAAAATAGGCAGAGGTCCATAGTGTACATACTCTACTGTAGCCCGTTTGACGCACGTCCAGATGAGGTATCCCGAGCTGCTTTTCATCCTGTTCTATGCGACACACCCATGTCCCACCAGCAGCCCAAATACGCACTCACACTGTCACAGGCATCATAACAGAGGCAGACAGAGCCACCCCGACAAGCGCAGAGCTGCTGTCTTCACTTCACTCTTCCTCTCGCTTGTGTCCAGACGCTGCGTAAAGATGCTGCTGCTACTACTGGGAATCATCTTCCTGCACGTCGCTGCCCTTGTGCTTCTGTTTGTGTCTACGATTGTCAGCGTAAGTCACGTACAGTCTAGTCTGGTCATTTATAATTCATAACAAAACAAGTCATAATAAATGCATAACTTTATAATCTTCAACAATGTGCATTTGAAATCACGTTTTGGCATTGGTGCAAAGCTAATCTTCATTTTACTTTGGGTAGTAAAGCCTATTAATACGATTTTTGTTGCATTTTGTCAGTTTAATTGTTTATATCTTGTCATTGTTTAGGTATGGACAACTGGACAGTCTGGAACTTCGGACTTATGGCAAAACTGCTCTTCTACCAATGGCCAATATTGTGTCCCTGCTTCAGCTGGTGGTAAGTCAAAAACTGATTTCTTACTCTAAACATCTGTAAATTTCTACTTTTATTACCTTGGAGTGACTCCTGCAATGCTTTGCTCTGGGATTTGTAGTCTTTGCAGCACTTGTAGTCCATGCTACTACTGAAATAGTTTCTCTAAATGCTAGATGAAAGTGGATACTGTTTTTAAAATGCAAAACTGCTCGTAATGTGGGTGTGTCCCGTCTCCTCTGGGAGCATGGTGCCATCTAGGGCAGAGAATGTGGTACTGTCCGAGCTGATAGGCTGTGACTGTATAAATAGTCATGGTGCTATGTCCATATTGAGGGCCAGTGTGTTGTAGAGGGGCTTTGGGGTGGGGCTGCCGCTGCCACTGCTTCTGGTGTGGAAACCGGAGTATTTAAAGTTGTGCATCTATGTGGTGGGACCTTGGGCCACCTCGTGTAGGGCATAGCGCAGGGTCACGCCCAGTGTCAGAGAATAGTGCTCAGGGATCATTAGGACAATTTAAGGCAGCAGCTGCACGTGTATTTTAAACCAGAGCTGTCAGAATTGGAAATACCTAAATGTTACACTATACACTGAAAGCATGTCAAAAAGGCGGAGGAAAATGACCCTAAAATATTGTTACTTTAAAATAAACTAGTCAAACTGATCTTAAAGTACTCAAAGTGAACATACTGAATGAATGAATAACTCAACCAAGTATCTACTGTCGATCAAATGTACCAAAAGATGCATTAGCCACTACTACTACTACTTCTACTACTACTGCTTCTCGTAAAACATCCTGCAACTGCAAATTTGACCATTGTTGCTCATAATATTTTTACTAAAAGTGTACCAAAGATAGGCGACGTATAATATAGTCTGGGGAAAGGAAAAATATCAATGTTTAGTTAATGCCAAAATTTCCTGGCGCTTACCATTTTAAACTGTAACATTTTTATAGTTATTTGCAGCCCCAAAACAGCTTACAACGTCCGGTGCGGTGAGGGTGATGTCACTGGTGGAGAATGAGCCTGGCTGTGTGTGTGTGTTTTGACAGAGCGGCAGGTCCCAGGGCAGCGGCGGGTCCTGGGGCAGCCTCTTGTTTGACCAGCTTTCAGTCATGACACACTCTGTTTATTTAAGAAAAGTGTCCCTTCGCTCTGCTGCGCTTTGTGGAGATGGGAGATAGCAGCAGGTTGGATTTGGTCCTGTTGAGAGCTGTGTTGCATTCTGGGGTAGATTCTAATCAGTTGTTTTTGTGTTAAAGATACACAATGCAACTTTTTAAGGTCTGATACAGATGTCGATTTTAAGTATCTACCAATACCCAATGTTAACAGATACCATTGTGGGGATGGAAAATGGCACTTATTCCTTTAAAACACAAGAGATCCAAATGTGTTATGTAACTGTTATTTATCCCTCAAATGACTACTGAACTTGTATGAATAAAAGTACAAACATTATAAACAGCATCGGTGCATCCCAATACCATTTTTCTTCTTGTCTTCATGGATATGGAATTGCTTTGTTTGAAATGTTCCACAAAATGATATTAAGCTCTGTTGTAAAAGCAAAAAAAATCGACTTGTCCCTGCTGAGATAGAGATTTAATGCCGTTCTGTGCAACTTTCCTAGCCTGATTCATCAGCCGGTTTCACTTCGTGGAAACCGTCTGACCTCGCAGCGTTAGGATTCGTCCGCTCGACGGTAGGCGGGTACTTTTTTTTTATTTGACCAATCGCCAAATCCCGTAGGAAGAAGGGCAATAACGTCTTTCCCCTTGATAAAATTCACCAAACATTCTCTTTGTTCCGGTTTTAAATCCTCGATCTCGGGAATCGTCACCGACACAGAATGTATGTCTCTTCGCTGATTGGCTGGTGCCCAAACTCATACTTCTGGAGTTTTTGTATTCCGATTCCTGACCTAGTTGCTGGAGAGAAATTAAATTGAGTGGAGGTACTAGGTGGCGCCAGCCTGGTAGAACTTTCCAGCCAAAGCTATAACATTTCGATGAAGAAAAGCCGGTGTTGGACAATCTACCATAATATAACGTTCCGTATTCACTAAATTTCTAAATATATTGGGAAAAAACAGAAGTATTACAAGAGGTTTACTTCATCTTCGCATTGTGAGGCAGTGTTACCACATCAACTAATTAAAATATGTGGACAAGTTGGTGAAGATTTATTATAGACACTTACATATACCAGGAATCCAGTCTAGTATTTATGATTTATGGACGACTTTCAGTTATTAAAACGCCTATATCAGTATTTTCTGCTCCTAACGTGCTGCAATATTGATTTAACATTACTTAAAAGCCAGGTGCTGGGATACTGCCATTTCCATTTACCCAAGATGGAGAGATGTTCAAAGTATACACAAATGTGACCTTTAATTAAAATTTCTCAAGCAGCATAGTCATCGCAGTCCGGTCACATGAGGTCACAAGCCCGTGTACTCATTCTGTGCCAGGAAAAGATTAATTTGAACCATTTGGAGAAACATGCATTAATAGTTTGGGATTACTAATCGGAAAGTTTGTGTAGCCCAAAATTTGATGTCATGCGCTTTTATGTTGAATCATGGACTTTATTTGGTTTTCATTTCCCCCTTTGGCGTTGACTCGAACATGAAATACAGTGGGCAGGGCAGGAGTGTCATAAATTATCACATGACAAAACAAATTTAAACATCCTCTTAACCAGGAAATGACCACATTTACTCCATTGTACACATACATACTCATTACGATTTAAACTTATGGCACTGCTAAAGGGGATTTCCTTGTTTATATCCATGGGTAATTTGAAGAGCGCAACCAGTCAAAAGATTTAATATTCTGTTTTGAAATAAAGTTAGTTAATTGCTGTGGCAATGGTTGTAACTTTTCATCATTTGGAAAACCAGTGGTGGAACATAACGAAGCACAAAATAAAAGCACAAATTTTAGGTTTAGATCATTTTTACTTTTACTTCACTACATTTGAGAGTAGCTATTTGTACTTTCTACTCTACTATACTTTAGATCTGGACTGAAAAGTAAAAAGTGCTTTTCTTTATGGTTTGAGACTTATTTGTAGCACATTTAACTTAACTTTGAGCAAACCAAATACTCAAAAACAGCAAAAAAATCATTTGAATCACTTAAAATCAGCTAAATTCTTGATTAAAACCACTACATTTAATGCTACTTTTTAACTTTTTGACTCTTAAAGTACCCTTTTAAACAGGTACGCCAATAGAATTACTTAAGTAGATTTTCTCATGTGGTATTTTTACTTTTACTTCACTACATTTGAGAGTAGGTATTTGTACTTTCTACTCCACTACACTTTAGATCTGGTCTGAAAAGTAAAAAGTACTTTTCTTTATGGTTTGAGACTTACTTATAGCAGATGTAATTTGAGTTAACATCCGAACTTTGAGCAAACCAAATACTCAAAAACAGTAAAGAAATAATTTAAATCACTTCAAATCAGCTAAATTCTTGATTAAAATCACAACATTTGATGCTACTTTTGAACTTTTTACTCTTAAAGTACATTTTTAAACAGGTACGTCAATAGAATTACTTGAGTAGATTTTTTTCATGTGGTATTTTAACTTTTACTTGCATAATCTTTTCCACTTGTATCTGTACTTTTACTTAAGTGACAAAATCGAGTACATCCATCAGTGCTGAAAACCGTGGACAGAGAACAGCTTCATATATCTGCTGTCGCTTGGTAACACCACAAAGACACATTATGTCATTGGTGTAAACTACTGGGCGGCTGTCATATTTATCATCTTTATTTTGAACCCGAGGCCAGGAAATACCTCATGCCACTGTTTTCCTACTATGACAGCAACAACGGAGGAAGGAAGACGCACAAGATGTGTTTATCACAAGCCGGCGAGGATTTGTGTTTACGGCGGATGGAACATTTTGGTCATCCATCACGGCCATTATCAAGAGCTATTACATAACCTGGGGCTTATTATAAGTAGTGGAATCTAATTGTTTGTCAGATGTGATATTGTGCTGGAGAAGAGACGCAAAACAAGTCTAACCACTGGTGCATGCAATCGAAGAAAGTCTCATGTTTCCAATCTGAAGTAAAGGTCATCTCGAGGTAATACGAACTGCCTATTCAAAATCTAGAAGGACTTTGGAAATAGTAGCAATGTAACGATATCCAAATCTCTCTGGACGATATTTTCATCTCACTGTATGAGATTATTTGCGATTTTTTTGTGTGAAAATGTAATGTTTTTCCTCTTAAAATACCTTCACAAGACTTAATCCAAAAAACAAAGACTTAAAAGTGCTTAGAACTGTTATTTCTTCTTGTAGTCTGCACTGAAATGGAGCAAAGCATCATGGGCTATGTAGTTCCATCTTTTCTTTTTAGCTATTGCTGCACCATAACTCTTCATTTAAGCAAAGAGAAGTGTAATTTGATATATTTTGACGGCCCGTGATATTATTGTGACACCTATGACGATACGATGCAACACTATTTTAGTTGTTGTCACATTCCTAGTAAACTGTGTAGTTTAGAAGATTGGGCAGCAGAGTGGTTAGCCTTCACTGGGTTTGAACTTGGACTGCTTATCACGGTTTCTCTTGAAGCATTCATTGACAAACAAGTATGAAATCACAACAACAAATTTAGATGTGTCTTAAGGCTAGTGTTGCATGATTGGCAGGGGGTTTGATTAGAGTTCGGTATTAGAGATTGTTAACGATATTGTTGTTTTCATGGACGAAGCTGGTACTGACTGCTTAGAATAGCGAGCAATCAACGGTCGATATTTCTGGGTTGATTTGTAGAGCCGATTTTGATTATTTTCGCCAAATTATGTCATTTTAATTTAGGTTAAACTCACCTACAGTCTCCTTCAAGAGAGCTACATAGTCATATTTTGAGCAGTTATCTGTTTGCATTAAAGTGTTCAGATAAAGCTTCGTGTGCACTCTCCAGGAAACAGATCAGCCCAAAAAAAAAATAATCAAACTGTGCTGGAGATGCAAGGCCGATAGTGTCTTTGCTAAAAAGTGCATATATCTCTAGAACAGGACCTAAAAATATGAACTAATCTCAACGTCATGAGATACGATTTTGGCTCCGTCCATTGGTTGAATGTCTCTCTACACTCATACTACTGCACACTGAACCCCATCTAATGTTTATAGAGGTTGAGATTAACATATTTTTGGATGGTAGGAAGCACTGTCTACATGTTTAGCTCAAGTTTTATTCAGTTCACAGTGTGCAGGGTGCATTAAGAGTCCATAGTCGCTGCTATAGGCTCTTGCTTCCCATGAAACTTAACATCAATAAGAAAAACATATGGATGCATTTAGTGCTGCGTATCTTTGCGAAAGGTAAAATAAGTTTAAAAGATCACTCAAGGATAAATTATGCATTGTAATAATAATAATGCATTTAAGTGGTTACCCATTAAAACACATTACTTTAATTTGCTCAAGGTAGTGGATCAATAGTCGGGCATTTAAGCTTTAATAAAAACTAATTGTATAGAGATATAGTGTACTGACTAGATGAGCTGGAGGGTTTTAAAGATACAGTTTGTAAGTTTTCTGTGACCTGCTTTTGTGCATGGAGATGTTATTGCTTCGTTGTTCCACAGTACGGCATTAAATCTCCATGGAGACAAGCAGATGGTGCCGCAAAGCAAATTTACAAGTCCGATCTGATGTTTTTAAGGTATTTTCGAGCAGTAAAAACACCAAAAGCGAAACAAATATCAGATAAATTAATGTAATATAACACAGGCAATGCGATAACCTCTCCATGGAGACAAGAAAAGTTACACGCTGCACTTTTAGCTCGCAAAGAGGATTGGACGGTGAGTGTACAGCATAAATCGCTGTTAGCATCCAAGACGAAACACAGATATAGTCATTTGAGGAGGGTACGGACAGAGCTCTTATGAAATTTGAGAGGTCTGGAAGGCAGTGTGCATAACCCATACACAAGAAATAGCCCCCGCTTAGAAATCCTAGGATTCCTGGCATGGCGCTGCAAATGAGGCCTAGACACTCCAGGACATAACAACAACTCAACAATATAAAGATAGACACAGGAGGTAGATAAATAGTTAGATGGATAGCTCCTAGTCGATGCAGGTGTCTAATGGGTTAATGGCCTGGGCCTTGGAAAGACTAGCAGTAAGGATCAATACGGAGCGTTTCAGTCCTGGGGCTGCTGTAAAGGGGTGCACAGGGCTTTTAGCAACAAGATATCTGCATGTTATGGATCCATTATACGTTCCCAGAAGGAAGCCGGTCTGGAGCCTTGTTTTTGTTTTTTTTTTTCCAATTGAGAGATTCCTATTTTTTCCCCCCTCTCATTCTCACATTTAATTCAGATTGTTTGTACATATTTTTGGTAAATGTTTATATAATTAGAATTGAATAATACATTAAAGTGACGTGGCAAAATTGGTGTACCTCAAGGCATTGTTATGGATGCTTTGATGTTTACTGTCTGAAGCTGTTTTTTTTTTTGTGTTTTTTTTGCTTGTCTTTCTCACTCTCTTTCTCTCGCTCCATTGTGTGTATTTATATTAAAACAAATTAAAATTTAATCACTAAATGAATGTTTGTTATAAAAGTCAAAAGTTTTAGAACACCCTAATTTTTCCAGTTATTTTTTGTAATTCAAGTCGTGCAAGTCCAATGAAGAGCTTGAAATGGTACAAAAGTAAGAAGTGAACAGACAGAGGTAAAAAAAAAAAAGATAAAAGACACAAAACACAAGTCCAAGCTCTGACAAAACTACCTCAGGAACAAAGAACAAGATGGTAAAGCTTGAAAACATGGAGTGTCCAGCACAGTCTCCAGACTTAAATACCATCGATGAACTGGACAGAAGAGTGAAAGTCAAGAAACCGACAAGTGCCACACATTTATGGAACTTCTGCAACAGACTTGCGAAGAACTTTCTGACCAATATTTGATTATATCGTAAAAAGAATCTGGACACATTCATGAGTCCAATGTTTAGAATATGTTTTGGTCAACAGTAAACAGTAAAAAACTGGAAAAAGTGTGGTGTTCTAAAACTTTTAACCGGTAGTGTATGTAATGTGATTAATTTGGTGTACCTCAAGGGATTGGAGTAGGACCCTTGATGTTTACTCAAGTTAATGAATGTTCAGCAACTCCAAACAAAACAAACGATCATCCAAACATTACTACACTCATCAGTCCATTTAGTCTTGCTCCTTTTCCTCTTTAGCCCACATCCTTCTGTTTACAGCTCGCAGACCGGTTTAATGTTACAGCTAATGCTAATTGTTTGTCGTTATTGGTATTGATTGCTGTCTTGTTTGTGTCCTTGTGCGTCCAGAGTGGATCCAGGCGGTGCAGGCCCTCATGATCCTCTCCATCATCTTCAGCTGCCTGGCCCTCTTCCTCTTCTTCTGCCAACTCTTCACTCTGCAGAAGGGAGGACGTTTCTTCCTCACCGGAGCCTTCCAGATCCTAGCCAGTAAGTCCATTTACACATTATATTCGGACGCAAATGGTTTTGATGACTTTAACAAGACTCAAATGAGAACATAAGTTAGGAGACGCAAATAGAGTTAGGAGCGGCGTGTATATTTCTTTACTGCCGTCTTGTGGCTGGCTTTGGCATTATACGGACTTAGAAGGTACCCAAAGGTGCACTGTGTTGAAATATGAAGGGATCGTTTAGATTGTAAGATGGTGTTTTTAATTATAAAGTGAAAGACGAGGTGGAATTTGACTGATCTCATACTGGGAGAAATGTACTTGTCAAGGAGGCCCAACACATTTAAGTTGCAGTAGTACAAAAAAAAATATTACTTTACAAAATAAGCAAAAATATGAACATTTCTGTAATAAACTGAAACTAAAATTACTTCTGAATGCAGTCGAAACATCTTCATTTCAAAAACAGTGTGCAGATGACTACTTTGAAACCTTTTCTACCTAAAAATAGATTATTAAAATGTAATGATGCAAAAACTAATACACATTTACTGCTTTGGAAGGTGATGATAGGTGACAATTATAGTAAAAGAATATTGTGCTCAGAGACAGTGAATAAAAATGGCTTTCGAATGCCACTCCCAATACATGGCCTGAGAGCAGGAGTTAAAGCGAAGCCCGCAGTGCATCCTCTATGGCAGACAATTAAATTAGAGTCTGAGCCAGTTACTAATGCTTAGAGCTACGATTGTGTACTCCACTCTGCCCTTTGCCAGTCCATTGTGTGTGGTTGGCAGCCCTCCTCCACCTCCCAGGTTTGGGGCGCTGCATTGTGCCAGCGCGTTGCCTGGCACACAGATGCCCACTCAGCCAAATACTGGGCCTGCAGCCAAAAGCGGAGTCGAAATGTCAGATGTCTCACTGAGTAGGGGCTGGACAGAGATAATGCCCTGTGACAGTCTAAGAGGTGGGCAGAGGAGCTCACATTGAAGGCATTGAACAGAAAGTTTGCTTGGGTATAGAAGTAGGCAGTAAAAATGTTCCCATAAATACTTTACTTACAACTGTTGAAAAGGTTTTATATTACGCAAAACTGATCGTGAGCTTTTAGACATGTTAGAATGCTGTTATCTCATTAAAAACAAACCCGGAGTTGTGTTTTATTTCATTCACACGTTTGAGTAATCCTGCATTTTTAGTCTGTCTACATCTCCAAAGCCCAAAATGGAAATGTAGAGTTTAAAAACAGTGGAGCACTTCTTGTATTACCACATGACATTATAAGGTGGCACAGTTTTTTTTCCATTTGAGATAATAACTCAGCCTAAATATGCAGGATTTGTGTGTTAAACATGTGTGAATGAAACAAAACACAACTCCAGGCCTGTTTTTGTTCTGTAATTTGGAATTTAATGGCAGAAAAATCAGATAAACTAGAAATTTCCACCATAGAATAACCACAATCTGCACTGGAGAGGTCAATGACAGACTTTACTTTGTAGCTACAGACCTGACCTGTGTGAAAGGAGAAAATATCTGTGGTGGTGGAGAAGAGGAGGAGATAAGGAGGTGGTGGTTCTGCTGCTAAGGTGGATAAGGGTTGCGGCATTTATCTAGAAAAAGTGGAGAGATTAAACACATAGGCAAGGCAAGTTTATATATATAGCAAATTTGTACACAACGTAATTCCAAGTGCTTTACAGAATAAGAAATACATTAAAATCACAATAAAAACAAATCAACACATAAATAATCAGAGAGACATTAAATGAAAGAGAAGGTGTAGGATGTACTTAAAATTTAACTGGTTGAAAGGCAATGAGAGTGGTTGCACACTTTTATCCAGGTCACTATTTTGTCACTATTTTTAGGACTTGAGACTTGACTTGATAAAAATGGAGTAAGACTTGGGACTTGACTTGGACTTGAGGTCTGTTACTTGAAAAGACTTGAAAAGCACTTTAAAATCTGAATTCTTTCTGTCCTGAGTGTAATGATTCATACTAAGATCTTATCAAGACATTAAAAAGGAAAAATTAACTACATTATTTTCTACAACTATATACTCTATGTCAGGACTGTCAAACTCAAATTCACAGAGGCCAAAATTAAAAACTGGGACTAAGTCATGGGCCAAACTAAATATTTATTGAAAATTTTCAACATCTGCATGTTTTCTCTTCTTTTGAGATATGTAATGTTAAACCTTTTCTCATTAAAATAAATGTTTAATATTAGTTTTACTTCAACATTGAACAAGCATAATATAAAATTAACTAAATTTTAAATAAATAATGTCTCTATAGTCTATCTGTAGCCGGTGGGCAGCTCTAATACATATTTGATTTGATGTTGCGGACCAAATATAATTATATTGTAGGCCAAATTTGGCCCCGGACCTGAAACTGACATGTCCCATGCTCCATAAATACTCATATATGAATATACTATGTTTTTTTTTTTATATACAATTTATCTTAAAAGTCTTATAAATTGCAAAAATCTAAGCTATATATTGTATTTTGGTTTAAAGACTTGAAAACACTTGAAGCTCAAAGCAGACGACTTGGACTTGACTTGGACTTGCCTCTCTTTGACTTGGGACTTGACTCAGACTTGAGGTCAAAGACTTGAGACTTACACGAGATATGCAAAACAACGACTTGGTCCCACCTCTGGCAGGAACTTTCAATGGCAAGAACAGTGGTCCATTCACATGTGTGCACCAACCTTAAATCTATATACTGCTACGTGACCGCAAAGCCAATAGAGATGCACCAATCCAACTTTATCAACAACAACATTTGTACCAACTTTTTTTTTCATTAACTCCGCAAGACAAACATCGTGAGGTGTTCAGCAACAAAAGGCCAATAAATAATCTTTAAATACATTAAAGGTGCGTACGTAAGCTTTCTAGTGGAGGATCTCAAACCTCGTTTTCTCTGTGGATATGTTATTGTTTGTTTGTTTTAGCCTGGAATGTTCCACAAAATAACAAAAAACACAAATCTCCATGGAGCCAAGGATGTGATAAATCTAATAATAGTTACAACATTCCTCATTGCTTTACTTTTACCATTCCAGGTCTGTTTGTGATGAGCGGCGCCATCATCTACACTGTGATGAGCCCGGAGTGGGTGCCCTCTACAGACTCGTTCGGGTACTCCTACATCCTGGCCTGGGTGGCTTTCCCTCTGGCTCTGATCAGCGGAATCATCTACGTCATCTTAAGGAAGCGAGAATGAGCCCCCCGAGAGTTTGAAACCAACCCAAACCCCAAACGCCATGTGACCCCGCGCTCTCGTTCAGGCCCTCACGCCATTGGCTGATTGAACGGTGACATCACAGACAGGGGTATATCAGATTCACCATGGAAACCATCTCCAAAACCCAACGATGAAGGATGTAAATAGTATCTATGGTTTAAGACCTATTTATAACACTTTTTACATATATGTACATAGTTTGTGTTGCTCTGATACTGATGTATGAGCTTTGTTTTAGCGGATTAAGTGCCTCAGTGTTTGTCTGTAACAACTAAATCATTTTAAGCTTCCTTTCGTTTTTTTTTTTTTCTTTTTTCGCCAAAAAGTGAACTGTCATTACTGAACTCATTAACCAAAATGCATGATAAGAACTACTTGTTTCTGGCGTAATTGATTTTAAGGGTTGCCAAGTTTTCTTTTTTTTTTCTACCTTCAACAAAATGGTGCTATGTATTTATCATTCCTATCAGTACAACAGTCACCGCCGCGTTGCCCTTAATCTAAAAATCAGACGAAAGTGCAATTGTGTATTTAGTGCTTTGGGAATATGACTTAATATTTTTAATTGCAATACTGTACAAACTTACGTAGTAGCCTTTAATGTCAGTATTATCGCAAATTTTGGAATAGATTTGAAATTATGAACTGTAATAATAACTTTGATTCGGGCAAACTATACTAGGTTATACCAAAAATTAACAGTAGGGGGCATTCTAGTTGAAAGCCATACCAGATTATAGAGATGTTTATGAAGTATTATTATTATTTAAAGGGCTCAGAACTGCAGGAATCAAGCAACTATTTGTTTAACATACTTGAAGTTTGACGTGATGCAGTCTCTGGCCCCATGTGTTTCTGCTACTGTAAAATTCACTGTTTATATGTCGCCGTAGTAACAGATGTTGATGTCAAAACTCTCACTCAATAAAACTATGATCACTATTTCTCGGCTTCTACGATAATGTGTTCGCGACTGCTGTAAATGGACTGAGGCCGCACTAACGACTAACGCATCGAGATTTGGGATTGTCTTGTTTTAAATGGGAATTTGCAATATTTGCCTGGAGAAAATAAGAGATCACGGGAAAAAAATTTGTGAAAAAGTTGGTGAATTAAATCGTGTTAATGATCCAATGTTGTTATGATTAGATTTTCGTGTATTTTGGAGACTAATAATGTTACAGATGTTTCAAAATACAGCTTACTTACAGTGCAGTCGTTTTAAAGGTGCACTAACCTTTCTGGTAGGGGGTCCACTACATGCTTGTCTCTCGGGAGTGGTTCTAACTTTGCTTGGAATGTTCCACAGTGTTAAATGATTAAACTGATCAAGCATTCATTCAATTGCAGGTGTTTTTATTGCTCAAAAACACGCGTTCTTACTCCGAGCAGAGTCACGTCTCCACAGATCTAACCCGCAACTCTTCTCGGTGGCGTCGCCGTTTCCCGTTTCCATGGAGATAGATACAATAGGTAGATATAAAGCCATACTGTGGACCATTCCAGGCAAACCAAAACTACCAGAAAAAGTTGCCGCAGTGCATCTTCGAACTCTAAGTTTGATTTGACCAAAGACTTCACGGACGTGGTCTCTTAATATTCTTCGTAGAGGTTTTTTTTTTCGCGTTGGAACCAGTGTAAATACCAGTACCACACCTGAATGACAGTCGCTGCGCTCACGTGTCAGCTTTGATAGATGAAAGTACAGCTAGAGATGTTTTACGAATGCCAAAAGAAGCTAGGGTTACAAGCTCCCTATAGCCTCCCGGGGCGGGCGTCGACTCCAGCTATCCCAAACACGCGACTTGGATTTCAGACTGAACCGTGACGCGAGCAGCATTGAAATAAACGCTCCAGATTCTCATCGCAAGTCTACGGAATGTCGTCTAGAGCTTTATTTTGTAGTAGATGTGCAGGCATGATACTAAAATGGGTCCAGTTCGAAGAGATATGCAGTTACCTCTAATGAAAACTGCCCACGTGTTAATATTACGATCCAACTGCAGTTTGTGTTTTGTGTTTACATGTACCAAATGCTCTCAGTAATATCAATGCTACTTGAGATTAACCATTAAAGGATGTTTCTTACCACCACCGGGAATGAAGCCTATTTTATTTCTTTGTTTGGTAACATATTCACTTATTATCATCTAATTACTTGCAAATTAGCATAGATGTAGATGGTTACTTTGTTATTAATTAGTATTTATTCAGCTCTTATTCATGTTTAAATCCCCATAAGCTTATTCTGCTCTTTCTTTGACATTTACAAACACTTTCCTATTAATACACTTCTTATTACTGCGTATTAGTTTGATACTAGGCCGTTTTTGTCCATGAATTATGATTCTAATAAGCTTTTGGTAATAAACATGTTATTAAGGACTAATGGCAAAAGAAATGCAGTTTTTACTTATTTGCACTTCATAAATGACACAAATTAAAATCAAAACATCACTTTAGCATCATATATTTAGAGCTTAATGACTTAATTCATGGTTAGTTGGATTAATTTATTAACTATTAACATCTAATAGTGTTTTTAAACATTAATATGGGCTGAATAAATACTAATTAATGACAAATGTTAATTAGTAGGTAGTTAGATGTTAATAAGTGTACCCTAAAATAAAGTGTTTGAGTTTAAAGCAGGACTATGGAATTTTATTTGTTCCATTAGATTTAGAATTTTAAATACAGCTGAATTTTGTTATTTTTTTTTTAAACTCTGCACAAAGATGTTTGAATTATTTTTATTCTGAATGGCAGAAGTGTACATTTTCAAAGGATTTAAAATTCAATATTTAAAAAAAAATACTTTTTAAATATTAAGCACAAATATTTTCAAGCCCTCAAATTCAACAGTCAAAATTCAGGTTACATTTACACTGAAACGTATCATCTTATCGCCGTATCGGAAACGATTTGTGTCCAGACACGTCGTTTCTGTGTCCGCAAACCTTCCCTATCCACACAACTTTGCGCGTATTTGTTTACATTTTGCTGAAACAAAACTTAAAATCACATGGTTAATTTGCATAAACTAAGCTCAAAAAACAGCTCAGTCCTTGTGCGATGATGCAGTACAGGTTCTGTCGGACTTAAAAAGGACACGACTCAGTGGAATATGAGTGTTCTTTCTGTAACAGAGGGGTGTTCTGCTGATGGTGAGTCTGTTCTGTGTTTCTATCGCGTTGGAGATGGTTCATTTTAAACTTTTCAGAGATTATACATCTACAGGTCAGACACATAGACCGTACATATGAATGGACATATATTCTAGCCTCTTTTGGCGTTTTGGCGGTGTATTACTTCGTGGCACATAGACCTACATCAGCGTATCAACGTTTTCAGGCGTCCACACAGTGCCGGATCAGATCTGTACTCAGATGAATTCGTGGGAGCTGGCGGCACCAGATCGTTCCGTCTCTGGAGCTGTTTTCCATCGGATTAGTTTGGATGAACACTGCAACACAACAAAAATGATTCGAATACGTACTAGTGTGGACAGGGCCTCAGAGTGTAAAATTTGTACTGAAAAAAGCAAAGATCCAAGATGCCAAGGCAGAAGCAATTGATCCTGAGTGAGTGAGGAGGACTGAGGCTGTTTCCTATTGGCCATTCTCATCTGTGGGCGGGGTTTACACATAAGAAATAAAAAAGATGAGGTGTTTATAAAGCTAATCAGATGAATCAGATCGCTTCACTGCACCATTTCCTGCTTATTACTAAATTAGATTGAATCATTTTGGATCAATTGCTTTGGTCTTGGCATCATGGATCTTTGCTGTGAATTTTTTTCACTGCTTCTGAATTCTGATTGTTGAATTTGAGGGCCTGAAAATATTTATGCTGAATTTTAAACAATTTGAAAATGTACACTTAATTATCAAAATAATTCAAATGTTTTTTTTTTTCAGAGTAAAAAAATTCAAAGTGAGAAATTCAACAGCATTTAAAATACAAATTCTAAAGGAACAAATTATCGAGATTTAACACCATAGATCATATAAACAAGTCAAATGAAGCTCATGAAGCCAGCAGTTACAGACAAAATAGCAAAATAAAAAAGCCATGATCACGTACACGAACATTTTAAGACCAAAATGACGAGGCTCACTGCAGCAGTTACAGAGAGAAGGGTGACAATTTTTCAATGCAAAGTCAATTAGAGCCAGAGTCGATGGAGCCAGAAGAGCTTGAAATTACAGAGGCCACTGAATGCATCACACACTAAACACCATATATACAGTTAAGTAGAAAAAAACAAAGTGGATTTAGGGTTTAGTTCCACTTTAAAAGGACAAAATTAACTCAAAAAAGCTACTTATTTATATTTTTTGTCATGTATTTTTCAATGATTCATGTGAAATAAAGGCAATAACAGTGGCAGAGTGGTTAGCATTCTATATATGCCAAAAATTATGATATAGATTTGATAAAATTGTCTAGAAGAAGTGGAAATTGCATTGTTTAGAACTACAAACAAAGCGTAATTTGAGGCAGTTTTCCCCGTTTAAGTCAATATAATGTTATTACAGAGAGTTTCTAGTCTAAACTGATAAGTGAAGGATGAAGATGAAAGAGTCCTCACATAGAGACATTCTTGGGACCGGACTCATAGGTCACGGCCTCCCACGGCCTCGCCTCCGACATATCTGCTCTGGGTGAACTGGGGACACTGCTCCACTGGTATGTCCAATATAAACACAACTATAATCCAAGTTAAATAAAAATAGTTTTCCAAAATAATCTAATTAAACGCTTACATAACACAACTGGTCCACTACAGGTCCAGCTCATGTTTACTACAGCTTTCTGTTGCTCTCTGCTGGATGTAAGTGGAAACTGCAGCAGCAAATGTGTGTGGGAATATGTTGGTGAACACTGCCCCCGTGTGGCACAAAGTAAACATGACATACAGAGCTGTGGAAGACCTGAGGTTACATATGTGCACACTCCAAATCTGATTATCATGAGAATTTAGTTAAAGTTATTAAAATGAAAAGTAAACAGCAAACTCATCTCATTCAAATCATGGTTCACAGTGTTGGGGAGTAATAGATTACATGTACCGGAGTTATGTAATCAGAGTACAAATTATGAGTAACTGTATTCGGTTACAGTTACTGTTTAAGTGAGTGGTAATTGGATTACAGTTACTTTGTGGAAATAAATGGATTGCAAGGTGGTACTTTCCTGTTTGCACATTTTGGGCTAAACCAGGACTAAACCAGGATTAAAACCAGATCTAAACCAGGACTAAACCAGGTCTAAACAATATGACACTAACAGTAGTGTGGACATAATTTAAGGCAGCAGTGATCTCATATAAAACAATTTCTCTATCAATAATATGTTTTATATGTTTAAGGAAAGACTCTGCTTTTTATTTTCTTTAAGCAGATAAAACAAAACATCTTATGTTAAGATCCTCATCTTTGCTCCTCTACAGTAAAACAAAAGTCTGTTCATGGAGATTTGGGCTCAACAGACAATTTGAAGAGAACAAACATGAATTTTCAGGATGTGGTTGCTACATTCATGTAGTTTTAAAAAGCATGACAATATCAAGTAATTCAAAGTATTACACTAAATTACTCACTTTAAGTAATTTATTGGATTACATTACAAACTACATTTTGGGGTATGTAATCTGTAATCTGTAATCTGTAGGGGAATACATTTAAAAGTCACCTTCCCAACACTGATGGTTCATCTGATTCATTCAAATGTTGGATCTACAAAATAAAGCACAAGTTTCATGACCTATAGACGTGGACAGGTGGACAATACAAGCTCTGCTCAAGCCCAGTATGGAATAAAATGTATTATTCATTAAATGATTGTTAATTTATTCATTCAGATAATAGACTTTAAAGCAGCTCTGCTTGTGTACAAGTCTCTCCATGGTCGAGCACCAGAGTACATCTGTGACATGTTAGTGTCATATGAACCATCTCGCACTCTGAGGAGCCCTCAGGGACCGGCCTCCTGCGGGTGCCCAGAGTCAGGACTAAACAAGGGGAGTCAGCGTTTCAGGTTCATGCAGCTAAAACCTGGAACAATCTGAAGATGTAAGACAGGCCTCTGCTTTGACTCTGTTTAAATCCAGGCTCAAAACGGTTCTGTTTAGCTGCAAAGATGACTGAAAGTTTTTCATTCCGCACTCTTCTCTCTAATTTATGTAATTAATGTCTCTCTCTCCTTTTAATTTTAAGATGATTATTTATGTTTTGATTCATTTTTATTGTGATTTTAATGTATTTCTTATTCTGTAAAGCACTTTGAATTACTTTGTGTAAGAATTGTGCTATTCAAATAAACTTGCCTTTTCTT